ATGAGGGGTCCTCACCGCACGGGGACCCCCCCCCCGGGCTCCTTCCCCCCACCCGCAGCACCTCCTGGGGCACCCTTGGAGCAGTGGTCCCCAGCCCCCATCAGCAGCCCCCAGCCCTGGGGATGGGGACACCCATAGCCCTGCCTGAGTGCGACCAGGATTTGGGTGCCCCCTTGTCCCAGAGGAGGGGGATCCCTCACCCTTCCCTAAATTTGGGCTCCTCAGCCCCAGGTTCTCTAGGCAACGACAGCACCAAGTGCCTGGTCTCGGACCCCCGGGTGCCTCCAGCCCCTCATTGTGGCCTCTGGCCAGCTCTCGCCCGGCCACTGACTCACACCCAGCCTTTCCGCCCCGGCGGGGGGGTCACGGTGCCCCCACGGCTCAAGCCTTCCTGGGGAGGAGGCGGCCGTGACACCCGCCTTATCCCAGCGCAGGAAGCGCCTCTAAAATTAAACCTCGCCGGGAGTCAAGGTCACGGTGCTGGGCGTGCTCCGTGCGCCACGCTCGTACCCCCGGGACCCCCGAATCGGGGGGGGGGGGGGGGGGGGGCCAGTTTCGGGGGCAGCCCCCTTGGGGGGGGGGGGCGGGGGGCTGAGCACTGTGCACTCATGTCACTTGTGGCTGCAGCCCTCAGGCAAGCGTTTTCCCCTCTTCCCCCCGCCGTGGCTCCCCCCCATCGTGCCCTGCACCCTTCGTCCCTCCCGGCTTCCTCTCCCTCGCCTGGAGGAAGGGGACGCCTTTCCTCCCTCCAAGAAAACATTTCTCCTGCCCGGTGTGGGGCTCTCTGCAACCCCCACCTACCCCGTGATTTTGACCGAGTGGGTCCCGTGTCTCTGGTGCTTCGGCCCCTTCCCCTCGGCCACCGGCGTGTGCCGATAGATCCCGCTCTTGTACATGAAGAAATCCTCGTGCACCTCCAGGATGGCTGCAGGCAGGGGGAGAGGCGCTGGGGACACGGCCCTGTCCCCAGGGATGGGGGGGACAGAGCTTCTGGGGCTCCATGTGTCCCCCCATCCCAAGGTGGAGGGTACGGGCACTGGGGGGACACGGGGCATGGCCCTGGGGGAGGGAAGGGGCAGCCGGATCCTCCCCCGGGCGATGGGACAAGGCTCGGAGGAGGATTAAAAAAAATAATAAATTGAAGTAAAACAAACCCAACCGCCGAGACGGGGATTAAATCTCCGGAGTTAATGAGCAACAAGTGCCCGCTGGGGTGGGCAGCGTGACGGGCACCCTGGGGCTGGCGAGAGCGCGGCGCTGCCCGGGACGGTGGCTAAACATTAAGCGGGGAGAGCAGGC